GCGGCTTACAAACTCCTTTCCCTTCCCCTCCCCACAACAGACACCCTGGGAGGTAGGTGGGGCTGAGAGAACTTTTGACAGGAACTGCTCTTCTTCAAGAACAGCTGTGCCAGAGTTATGGCTTGCCCAAGGTCATCCAGCCAGGTGCAAGTGGAGGAGTGGGGAATCAAACCCGGTTCTCCCAGATTAGAGTCCGCGCACTTAACCACTACACCAAACTGGCTCTCTGTAGGTAGGTGAGAGATCCTCCCAAAGAGCTCTCTGAAGACGTAAGTAATCCTCTCATTTCCTGAAAAGGAACACCTCCAGAATTAAAAGCATTGCTCAATTCTCAAAGAATATACGGAGCTGTCTTACACCAAAGGATCCAGCCAAGTAATCCCCATGGGCCTCAACAGTGTGCTTCCTGGTGCTCACTTCCTTCTTCCCCAAAGCAAAGAGTCAGCCCTGGATTTCTTGCATCTCACTGGAGCAGGAAATGCTTCAGAAAAGTCACCTTGGTGGCTGTCTAGTATACCCACCTGGAAAAAGCTGACTACATCATGGGAGGATGCATTCTCCCAACATTTTGTGGTTGGCCACCCCACCCAATGGTAGCCATTTTTTATGGTGCTCCAGAGGTTTGATAAAATTGGGGGCTCCTGATCTAGAAAAACATTGTCTACTTTGATAGACATTCTCAAGACCCTTTAACCAGAGGTTGCCAGGGGTTGCGTTTGGGACCTTCTGCATGGAGATCTGTGGTCTCAATACACGGAAAAGTGGCAGTCTGCTTTGTATCAACCTAGACCGTCCCCGTACAACCCTCTGTATTGCCTGCTCTGACTGGCAGCAGCTGTCCAAAGGCTCTGGCCAAATTCATTATTTTGTAGCCTTGCTGCACAGAATTCTCCTAGCTGGAAAGGGAACCTGAGGCACCCTCTATCCCAAGCCTGTACTTTGCCAACAAGCTGGGTTCCTCCCATCTTAAAAACAGTCGTTCAAGCATATACCCCTCTATGAGAAATGAGATGTCACTGATGCCGCCTGTTCATTTCCTAAGAGAAGGAATGCTGGACTGCCACTGGGAGACTCAGCAAAATTTCTTACTGCTATTACCCTGGGAATGAAAGCTACAGATGAATGATGCAGAATTTCCTGATTCCAATATGGCACTGGGAGAAGTGGTAGGAACCCAAGACAGTTTCAGGGTTTGCTACTCTCTTCAATAAATCCTAATTAGAGACTTAATATTTCAGTGACAGACCCAGAAGCTGAATATAATTTTTAGATGCTAAAGTAAAGACAGCACCAGAAATTAAGCCATACAGATTCATGTAGCAGTAATTTGGGGGGAAATAAGGTAAGGCGATACACCCTCCGATGTTCATCTAGTGCAGCATCCTGTTTCCCACAATGGACAACCAGTTGACCTGAAGGACCAACAAGCAGGACATAGAGGCCAAGGCCTTCTCCTGATACTGCCTCTTAGAACTGGTATTCAGAGGTTTATGGCCTCTTCATATGGAGTTTCTCGTTAGTCACCAGGGCTAGTAGCTATCGATGTACCTCTCTTCCATGAAGCAGTATGACCCCCTTTAAAAGCCATCTTGACATCTCCCTGTGTTTTTATTTCTAAAGGAGTCATCCGCACAGCAGTAGCTAATCTGGACCGAGAGCAGAAAGCTACCTATGAAATCATGGTGCAGGCCATCGACGGCAAAGGTCTACAGGCTGCAGAATCCGGCACAGCTACAGTACGCATCACACTGATAGACATCAACGACAACTCCCCAACCTTTAATCCAAGTAAGATTTGTTCCATAAAACAAATCCAGGGATTAATTTTTTTTTAAATCTTCCACTACTAGGGGTGGGTTTAAGAGCAGGTGACTAAGGCCGGCTCTTAACTATTCAAAGTCCAGGATTAGTATTTTATGGCTCAGTTCAGACATCACACAAAAGCCTTGTTTAATTCAATCAACTGTCTGAATGCAGGCTATGGTCAGTTTGGCCCATCAGTCTAGTGTCTGAATTTGGTTCATTAGCCATGGTTAGTCTATGAATTTCATTGCCATGAGGCAATGAAACAGCACACCTGTATTAGGAACTCTCCTTTTGGTTTATGTTTAGCAATGGCAGTAAGGTGAAGCTATGTGCAAGTCCTAAAACAAGCAGGAGGCATATTGCAAGATTGACTCTGTCTTTTTCTGCACCACTTGCCTTGAGCATAGAATCGTAGGAAGGGGCCATAGAGCCCATCTAATCCAACAACCTGCTCAATGCAGGATCAGCCTAAAGCATCCCTGACAAGTGTTCATCTGGCCACTGCTTGAAGACTGCGAGTGAGGGGGAGCTCACCATCTCCCTAGCAGCCAATTCCACTGCTAAATTACATTGCGTGTAAAACAAACAAACAAAAATCCTAATCACACATTGTTTTCTATCCTTCACCCTAGGTGAGTTGGAGGTTTTTAGAACATTCAATGACATCACAGCAGTTCACCCAATCAAGCAGATTTGCAACCACTAGCACCCCTACCTCTTCACCATAATGCCCACTTCTCCCTACCACTCTTTTCTCCATTATTTTTCCATCTAGGTCTAATAGGTTATGTGCTAAATGTAATTTGTAACAAGCAATTCCCTTGATATTATTTTACAATTTGACCAATCTTTTCTTCTTCCATTTTGCAGCAATATACCATTTTGAAGTACTCGAAAATGTCACCTTGAATGGGGAAGTGGGTAGACTGAAAGTCGAAGACATTGATGAGCCACAGAACAGAAACACAAAGTACAGTTTTGTCGGTGGAACTTTCCAAGACACCTTCTTGATCGTACCAAACCCATATACAAATGAAGGAATAATTAAACCTAAGAAGGTACTGTATGGCCAGAGATCATCAATGCTTCACTGTCTGCAAGGGTACCAACCAGTTGCTAGGCCTCTGCAGCTTACACAACCCGATAATGGGGCTGTGGCTCAGTTGCGGAACTCTGAACAGTGAAGGTCCCAGGTTCAGTCCCTGGCACCTGCAGTTAAAAGGTTCTGATAGGAAATGGTGTGAAATGTCTCTACCATAAATCTTGGAGAGCCACGGCTGATCAGAGTAGACAAGATGGACCTGAGTAGGCCAGTGGTCTGACTCAGTATAAGGCAGCTTCATGTAACCTTGGCTTTACCTTCTTCTCAGCAATGTAGCCATCCATTCCTTTTCCTGGGCAGGGAGAGCAGTAGAGCAACAATAGACACTAGAAACAGCTGCTCTGCTAATTGTTCACTTACCAGCATTCCCAGTGGAGTATTGGCAGCTGGGAAAGTCCATGAAGAGGAATGGGCAGAGGGACCAGCCTGTGGCCCTGGCAGCTTGAAGACAGCCTCCACCTCTGACACTAGGCAGGCCAATATGGTGCCATGACTATCATGCTAGACTAGGACAGCGGCAAACTGTTCAGATCCTCACTCAGCCATGAAGCTGACTAGGTGACTTTTGGCCCATCACACTTATTCAACCGAACCTGCCTCACAGAGTTGCTGTGAGAATAAAATGTACAATGCTCTGAGCTCTTTGGTGGGATTTTAAAAATGCGCCAAATAAATAGATCAATCTGCTTTGCGGGGGCAATTGTGAGGATAAAACAGAAGGGGAGAATTATATGCAATGTCAAGTTGCAGCCGATTCATGGTGGACTCATCGTGTTTTCAAGGCAAGAGACATTCAGAGGTGGTTTGCCATTGCCTGCCTCTGTGTAGCCCCCCTAGACTTCTTTGGTGGCTTCCCATCCAAGCACTAACCAGGGCCAACCCTAGGGTTTCCAGGTCCTACCTGGACGGCAACAGGAGGCTCCCGGGTCCTCTCCTGGATGTTCTGCCACACGCATAAACCACGTGTCGTGATGTCACCCAAAAGTGACATCATCATGTCATCGAGGTTGGGGGGTGACACCTTCAAAACCATAGAATTTGTCCAAAAACTAGAGTGTCACCTCCCAACGTTGGTAACATGATGACAACACTTCCGGGTAACATCACTGCATTAGGGACGTTGAACCGTGACATCCCCATTTGGGGGTGGAGCTTCCCCCACCGGCCAACTGGCCAGCAGCAGATTCAGGCCCTTAAAAGTGGGGGGGGGATCCCCGCTGGGACCTGGGGGCTGGGAGCCCTAGCAAATCCTACTTCTTAGATCTAACAAGATCAGGCTAGGCTGGGCTATCCAGGTTGCTGCATCCATAAATATAGATGGAACCAAAATAGTCTGATGAAAACTGGTTGCTATCATCTATTCATTGTCTAGAATGCATTGCAATGCTCATGCCTCCGTTTTGTAATGAAAGTGCTTGTCTTTTCATGCAGCCCTTGGACTTTGAAAAAACACCCAGCTACCAGTTCCGCGTTGAAGCAACGGATGGCGATATACCCTACTTGAATTCCAAGACAAAGGGAGCCAAGAGCATAGCAACCGTAAACATCAGAGTTCTGGATGTCGATGAACCCCCCGTCTTTGAAAAGCCTTCATACACGTTTGAAGTGCTGGAGGAGAATGATATCAAGGTGCAAGTTGGGCATGTTTCTGCCATCGATCCTGACCGAGCAAAACGAGAAATAAGGTAATGGAAAATGGTTCGTATTTACAGGCTCTTCACGGTTTCTTTTGGTGGATTCAGTGCAGTGTAGTGACTCAGAACGGCTTTAGGAGATGACACATGGAAGTAAATCACAGTTTGGTGTACTGGTTTGGTGCGCGGACTCTAATATGGGAGAAGTGGGGGGGGGAACCCCACACCGACATGCACGTCACCCGGAAGTGGCGTGACGACACCGGGCACGCTGGGGGCGGGGCCACGGCCAACCATAGAGTTTTCCCTCGGATGACCGTGCCCCCGCCCCCAGCGTGCCCGGCGGCGTCACGTCACTTCCGGGTGACGTGCACGTCGGGGTGGGGTTCCCCCCGGGGTCCAATCCACTGGCGGTGGGGAATGGGCCTCTGGGGCAGGGGTTTCCCCGCCCCCCGGGGGGACTTGGCAAGCTTACCAGGGAGACTGATCTCTGTTGTCGGGAAATCAGATGTACAAGCAAGAGATCTCCAGGCCCCACTTGGAGGTTGTCAACTCTAATTGCCAGGCATGCATCAGCCCCGGCTACATGAGGAGGGGGTTTCACAGGGGTGATCAGGCCCTGGGCCTGGATGTCACTAAGCCGGCGGAATCTTTACCCTAGAGGTGAGGAAAGGAGGGAATGCATAGCCAGCAAACGTCTTCAAAAAATAACCCATTCTCAGCCTACCCTTGAGAAACCGAGGAATGTGAGGGGGGGAAAGCCAGAAAATGGCCTCCACAGTGACACTCTAAGGGTTTCTCTGTGGTCTTTGCCATACAGATTTGCAGAGTTTCATAGACCGTCACCTGGAAGTGATGTCACATCCCCCCCCAAACCACCCTCCCGAGGCACCACCCTGAAAACGTCACAGCATTTGCCAATACAGTGCTGGCAACCCTATTCGTAACGTAGATCTTATGTTAAATCTAATTCCCTAATGGCCTTTTAAAAAAAAAAAAATTAAGTAGAGAGAATGTGTATGTGAAGAACAGTAATTCCCAATCAATTTTTTGCTAGTTCACTAAGAACGCGCCTTGACAGTTCTGTGTGATATTAATCACACTTTTATCCCGCCCTTCTTCCGAAAACCTCAGAGCAACATTCACAGTTCTCCCTCCCTCCGCTTAATCCCCAACAAGCCTATGCGGTAGGTTAGGCTGAGAGAGTGACCGGCCCAGGATCATCCAGCAGGCTTCCGTGGTGGAGTGGACACTTGAACCTAGGTCCCCTTTGCTGAACACAGCAGGAAAAGAGGAAGACCCAACACGAGATGGATTGACTCCATCAAGGAAGCCACGGACTTCGGTTGGCAAGACCAAAGCAAGGCCGTTAACAATAAGACCTTTTGGAGGTCATTAATTCATAGAGTCGCGATACGTTGGTATCGACTGGGTGGCACTTAACGTTCACATGCACTCCTTAGTTCTATTCCAGCACTCTAACTGCCACACTACTCTAGGATAATGTTATCACCACAGTATAACTGATAGTTTGTTGAAGGTTGGTGTGAAAAGTCATTGCCTTTTTTTAAAAAAAATAACACTTCTGAGCAGCAATACATCTTGAACTCACCTGATAACCTATAATGGGCCGAGGTCAACTGATCAAAATCCTGTTCAGATGACACCTCTTTCATAACCCACACAGGTATCGTGTCCTAAGATCCAGCTATTTCAAAATCTCCAACACTGGGTATATTTTTGCCGAGAGGCCACTCGACAGAGAAGAACACTCCTGGCATAATATAACGGTGGCAGCCAATGAAATAGAGAATGGAAGTAAGTATTCCTCTATGTCATCTGGAGAAACACAAAAGCTGCATCATGGGAGGCGCCCATAAAAAACCTTACAACCTCTTGTGCTTTCTCTTCACTGCAGGAATACTAACTCAGTTAGAAACTCACGTCCAAGTTTACATCAAAGTTCTCGACAGAAACGACAATGCGCCAGAATTCGCAGAACCATATCAGCCAGGAGTCTGTGAGAATGCCCCACCAGGAAAGGTAGTATCCCAGAGATGAGCGCCTACTTGTGTTTAGTTCCAGCCAAATAAACAACAGCTCCATCTTGTCCAGGCACCCACATTTCTACAGATCTCTTGCCATCAAAGACTCTGATTGTTTTGGGTTTTTTTAAGGTTTTATTTACAGTTTTTCCATATTTACATACATTTATCTCCCCTTTTTTAACAATTAGGGGATCAACATCACAGTTTACTTCGTACCATTTTATGGCCTTATGCCATTTCTGGTTAAATTTATCTTCAATGTCGAGAATATGTATCGCAAAGAATTGGAAGTCAGACAGTACACCGAGTAAAGAAGAGTTGATAAGCAAGCTTTTTGATGTAATAGAAATGGATAAATTAAATATGTATTTGGCGGGAAAAGACTCTGATTGTTAATGGTATATGGTTAATGGAGAGCCAGTTTGGTGTAGTGGTTAAGAGCGTGGACTCTAATCTGGGAGAACTGGGTTTGATTCCCCATTCCTCCACTTGCAGCTGCTGGTGTGACCTGGGGTCAGTCACAGGTCTCTCAGAGCTGTTCTCTCAAGGCCAGTTCTCTCAGAGCTCTCTCAGCTCCACCTACCTCACAGGTGTCTGTTGTGGGGAGGGGAAGGGAAAGGAGATTGTAAACCACTCTGAGACTCCTTCTTCTTCTATATGACTGGAAAAAGCAGGCCTGACAGTTTCTGCAAAACACAAATTTGGTCTGTTAGCAAAGTTCTTACCACTACATCTTTGAAAAGCTAATGTCTGAAAAGACGATTATATGCTAGGATTCCCATTTGCCCACTTTATGATGGGAGACCTCCAGGCAATTGCAGTCCTTGCCTGCCAATGCTCAGCTGATCGGCAGGTGGAAACTGGGGGTGGGGTAGATGGAAGTGTCCTGGGGAGAAATACAGCCTCAGGTACTTACAGGATGTTCTGACCACAGAGTTCCTGGCAATTCCTAGAGATAGCTGGAAATGATTCCAGGAACTCTGTACAAGTCTTACCATACAGTTTCTGGCGGTTGCTAGAGCTATCCTCATCACTTCCAGGTAGCTCTAGGAATTGCCATAAACTCTATGGTCAGAACTTCCTGTAAATAGCGAAGGCTTTGGTTTTCTTTTTAATTATTCTTCCAGTACTCTGCCCCACCCACAACCCCCTTCCACTTGTTTGGCAATAGGGCTGCCAAGCCGCGGCGGGGGATCCGTATGTCTTCACAGGATCCCTGCCATGGGGGACAACGATACGCATTGCACCGCCGTCGCCAGGATGTGACGCTACACGTCACTTTGGCAACGGGACTCCAAACAGCCCCATTGCCAGAGCGACGTGTAGCATCACATCCTGGCAACGGCGGTGCAACATCTATCGCTGTCCCCCGCGGCAGGGATCCTGTGAAGACATACGGATCCCCCGCCGCGGCTTGGCAGCCCTACCTGGCAACCTTAATGTTTGCCCAGAATCAAATTTTACAATGCAAAGAAAGAGCAGATCATTGATTTGCAACATTCCTATGAGAAAGTTAATTCTAAGCTCTGACAAGCTTACATCACATATTCAGAGGAGATGAATTAATGGGCTTGGTAGAGTCATGTGAGTGTCATGTAATTGGGCAAATATAAGATAGCCTCACCCAAAACACCCCTGAATGTCTCAGATGTGCCTGCCCTGTTTACATACAAAATAAGGGGGAAGTCTTATCTTAATAGTAAAAGAGGTATGTGAATTATGGGGATGGAACCTTCCCCACGCCTTGTATATTCTGTTGGCAGGCCCTGGATTGCCTTGAAGGTTCCATTGATGATGTTTTCTTCTAGCAAGCCAGGTGACCAAATTACATGTTTGAGTTTTTAATGAGTTGTGTTTGGGTTACCTGCAGCTACACAGCAGCTGCAGGGGCTGTTTTTTAAAAAATAAAGAAGAATCCTGACCTAGACTGGGTCAGGATGCCACTGCAGGGGGAGAAAGGGCTCCAGCCTTACTCTATGCACGTGAAGCAGGAAAAACGGAAATAACTTCCCCTGTGCTATTTCTCTGTGGGGAAAAAGCTGGGGGGGGGGGAACACGAGACCTTCCTCCCCCTGCAGTGATGTTCTGAGCCCCTTTTCTTTATATTTTAATAGCCATTTCCCACAGCTGCTGTGTGGCTGCAGAGAACCTCAAGTTAGGTCTGGATTCCCCAGAGTTAAGTCTGGGAAACCCCAGGAATCCGGAACCAATTCATTAAAAACCCAAACATGTATTTTGGCCTAGAGAGGGAAGGGAATGGAGAGGACTTCTTCTTCTGGAAAATCCTTAAAACAGAGACCTGCAACCTATGGCTTCAGTGCCAAATGTAGCTCAGCAAAGAACTAAATTGTTGGAAAAGTGACATAGGGTTGCCAAGTCCGACTTACCTTGCCGGTAGGGGACTCCAGGGTGGCTTCTGGCACGTGCACACGCAAAGCGCGCGTGCGCACCGCATGCACATCACAGGGAAGTGACGTCATGACGTCGGGCACGCTGGGGGCGGGGCCATGACCATACAAGGGAAAACCATAGAGTTTTCCCTTGTATGGCCATGGCCCCGCCCCCAGCGTGCCCGGCGTCATAACGTCACTTCCCTGTGACATGCACGCTGGGCGGGGTTCCCCCCGGGGCCCGATTCCCCAGCGTCGGGAAACTGGCCTCTGAGGGGACTTGGCAGCCCTAAAGTGACAGCCTGCTATGAGTCTATAATCACTGTAAATACTGCTGAAAGAGTAGTTTAGTCCACTTGTACCCTAAGGGGAGCTGTGGACCATTCTCTAGTGTTTAAGGTTTATTTGTTTTTCTTGTAGTTCAGCCTATGTCTTGTTGTTTCTCTCTCTGCTGGGTGTTGTTGTATGTGTTTTTGTGCTTGTGCTCGGAAGGCCTCACTATTCTACTAATGGCCTGCAGTCAGTTATTGTCTTTGTGCAAAATCCTGTTGCAGTAGATCCTATGAAAGCAAACGCCAAAGAGTGGATTGGATCATTTCCTCAACTCTGCCGACACAAATAAGGCTGTTTTTAAAAGTAAATGAAATCTTGAAGTTAAAAGTTTAACGGAGGGGTAGAACGGGTTCTAGAATAACCAGTAAGTGAACAGCAGGGAAAGGTTTTGATGGGACTAAAGGACTTCTTGGAGATGCTTTGCAAGGTTTGGGCATCCCTGGGCGGGTTGTTTCCTCTGGTTTATTCCTTTGAACAGTAACTCCCCCAGCCTCATGCCAACGTGTAATTTTCTTTTGAATGGGATCTTGGATTTTCAAAAGTGTATGCCTCTTAGCACATAGTCCTGCTGATGAAGAAACAAGCCCACTCTGGAGATAATGGCCTATGCATTTATTGCCTCCACACTGAGGATGCTGATATCTTTAATTTCTCTAGGTGATCATCAGAATTTCTGCTGTGGATAAGGATGAAATGTTGCCTGGCATGAGATTCACGTATTCCTTAACCTCCGAAGAGAGCAACTTCACTCTGATTGACAATCACGGTATGTTCCTGTAGATGCCAAAAAGATGGCATTGGGGAAAGGTTAGCTAACAGCATTGCAACAGTAACCAATTTGAAAAGCAAATTGCAGGTCTGGATATTAGTTTGATGTTTGAGTGTTCCCTCTAAACTGAGTTAGTGTGAGCTGGCTCACAGTTTTTTAGCCTCCGGCTCACACATTTTTGTCTTAGCTCAGGAAGGATGGCTCCAGAGCAAACTAATTTATGCAGTAGCCAAATTGCCCGCTCACAACTTTAATGCCAGTAGCTCACAAAGAAGAAATTTTGCTCACAAGACTCCACAGCTTAAAGGGAGCATTGATCCAAAGTGGAGTTTTTGACATTTAAGGCCCCTAAATAGTCTACAAACAGAATATCTGAATGACCATCTACATCTTGTGCATGGTGAGTCTTTTACTCCCATATGACATACATCAGGATGTTCTGCAGAGGTACCAAAAGTTCAATATGCTGGTATCATGAGCAACCACCAGGGACAAGGCCTTGACAGTGGTGGCACTCAGATTACAGAATCCCCTCCCTGACACAGTAGGTGACTGCATTTACATCAGGGTGTTCTGCAGAGGTACCAAAAGTTCAATATGCTGGTATCATGAGCAACCACCAGGGACAAGGCCTTGACAGTGGTGGCACTCAGATTACAGAATCCCCTCCCTGACACAGTAGGTGACTGCATTTTTAATTTTTTTAGGTGTCTCTATTAAAAACTTTGTTATTTATACAGGCTTCCAGTGCTCCCTCTAAGCTGTGGAGTCTTATGAGCAAAAATTCTACTTTGTGAGCTACTGACATTAAAATTGTGAGCAAGTGATTCAACTGCTGCATAAATTAATTTGCTCTGGAGCCATCCTTCCTGAGCCGGAGGCTTAAAAACTGTGAGCTAGCTCACACTAACTCAGCTTATAGGGAACACCGCTACTAGCCATGTTTGCATTTGCAGCAGTCACCATTTATTTATTTTATTTACTTCATTTGTACCCCATGGTTCTCCCTAATGGGAACCCAAAGCAGCTATCACTGTTCTCTCTCCCGTTTTATCTTCACAGCAACCCTTGAGAGAGGTTAAGCTGAGAGTGTGTGACTGGCGCAAGGTCACCCAGCAAGCTTCCATGGCATTGGGAAGATTCAAACCTGGGTCACTCCAATTGAGGGCTGCCAGTTCTGGCAACTGGCAGGAGGGTTGGGGTGTGAAAATGGTGGGTGAGCAATGTTGACTGTGTCACAACATCACTTCTGGGAGAAACCTAGAAGTTACAAAGGTTAGCTCTAGGAATCAGCAGAAACTCTATGGTTTAACATAGAAGGGTCCAAAAGAGGGAGGCCCTGGAGGGTGCGCCAGCTCCTGCCAGAGATACCATAGAGGCTCACCGTAAGGAAATAAATACATTCCAAAGTAATGAAAGCCGTAGAGAAAAGGTTGTCCTCACCTCCTGAAAAGCTTGTTCATCCTCTGAAAGTGAACTTGCGCCAATGGGGAGGTAATCCCACCAGGCAATCGTTAAGTTTAATAAGATGTCATTGCTTTCTTCAGATAACACAGCGAACATCACCGTCAAATACGGAGAGTTTAATCGGGAGCTAGTCAAAATCCATTACTTGCCTATCGTCATCTCTGACAATGGTGCGCCCGAGCAAAGCAGCACAAACACCCTTACCATCCTGGTCTGTAAGTGTGACGAGGCTGGCAAGTTTACATTTTGTGAAGAAGCGGCTAAACAAGTGGGAGTCAGCATCCAAGCTCTGGTGGCCATCTTTGTCTGCATCCTCACAATATTTGGTAACTATTTACGTTTCTATACTTTCCATTTCAGCCATGGTGGCTCAGTAGTTAAGACGCTGAGCTGCAGATTGGAAGGTCGGTAGCTCAGCAGTTCGAGACCCTAGTGCCATGTGACAGAGTGAGCTCCCGTCTCTGGCCCCAGCTCCTGCCAACCTAGCAGTTCGAAAGCAAGAAACTGCAAGTCGATAAATAGGTACCACTTCGGTGGGAAGGTAACAGCGTTCCGTGCGCCTCGGCGTTTAGCCATGCCAGCCACATGACCACAGAGAAGTCTTCGGACAGCGCTGGCTCTTTGGCTTGGAAACTGAGATGAGCACCGCCCCCTAGAGTCAGATTCAACTGGCTTTCAATCAAGGAAAACCTTTTTACTTTTCAAATGCAGCTCTGGGACAATAGGGAGGAACAGGGGTTCATTTGGGGCATGTAACAAAGACAGGAGTTTTTTTATATACACACACACGCTCCAAAGCAGCCATTTTCTCCAGGGGAACTAATCTCCTTAGTCTGGAAGATCAGTTGTAATGATGGACTCTTTTCCCTTTTTAGGGCAGCATGAATTTAATAGTTAACATCTGCCTCCCAAGTCCTGCCCTCTATGCCCCCCCCTACAGAGATGGGGGGGTAGCAACTAGAGACAGGACACTTTCAGTGGTGGCACCTTGCCTTTGGATGCCCATTCCCCCTTGAGCCTTGGCTTACCTACTTTTAGGTACCAGGCCATAGGAACATAAGAAGAGCCGTGCTGGATCAGACCAATGGTCCATCTAGTACAGCATCCTGTCACACGCAGTGGCCAACCAGTTCCTCTGGAGGGCCAACAACAGAGCATAGAGGCTGAGACCTTCCCCTAATGTTGCCTCCTGGCTCTGGGATTCAGAGGCTTAGGGCCTCTGAACATGGAGGTTCCCCCTCAGTCACCATGGTTAGTAGCCATTGATAGACTTATCCTCCCTTTTAAAGCTGTTTATTCCACATTTTAATCACTCTCTGTGTAAAGTAGTATTTCCTTTCGTCCGTCCTGAACCTACTTCCCAAAATATTTCTCTTAGTCAGTCTTTTAATTAAAGGGGTTCCATCTTTTGTAGTTATTTTATGGTCTTCATCTAATCTGTTTTAATGGATATTTTTAGGATATTCGATAATTGCCTTTATGCTGATTTTGTGCCCGTGGCTTGTTTTTAAGATCATTTACGTTTAATATTGATTGTTTTCCATTACTACAAAAATTACACATTTGTGACATGTAAACATAAAATTCTTCCTTCGCATTGTCCTTGGTAAGAAAATGAATGTTTTAAATATAAGCAGTCAACATTTCTTCTTTTGGTAAAGCCACCAGACTTTACATGAAGCTTTTTCCAGTGTATGACTTGCTTCGGTTAACAGTTGGTGGGGATGCGTTCATCAGTACAGTCTAAAGTGGATCGTTTCTGCAAATGTGTTCATCAAACTTTATCTCTTGGTGGGATATTTATTTAAAATAAGGAAAGCAATTAGGATTTTTAGAATTAGAATTTCTAGTAAAGCAAAGCATTCACAACTTTGCCTTTTATATCCTGCATAACTAAATTGGGTCATATTCTCTCGGTCTGTTTGGCTTCTCTGTTTTTATATTTGTTTCCTTGCAATTCTTTTGTCTGCAGTCATAATGCTGCTAATAGCCCTGAGAAGGAGGCACAAGAAGGATCTGAACGTTCTCCGGAAGAACGTGGCAGAGATCCACGAACAACTGGTGGCCTATGACGAAGAAGGCGGTGGTGAAATGGACACCACTAGTTATGACGTGTCAATCCTCAATTCGGTCCGCCAAAGTGGTATGACGTCACCGCGGATGACCCGGGAGACCATGCCCTGCATGTACTCTCAGGTCCAAAAGCCACCCAGACATGGACTTTCTGGTACTGGAGAAATGGCCATTATGATTGAAATGAAAAAGGATGAAGCTGACAATGACGGAGATTTGCTTCCATATGACACTCTCCACATCTTTGGCTACGAAGGGGCAGAGTCCATTGCAGAATCTCTAAGCTCTTTGGGATCGGGCTCCTCTGACTCGGACATTGATTACGACTTCCTCAACGACTGGGGTCCAAGATTTAAAATGCTGGCAGAGCTTTATGGATTGGAAGCCGATGAAGTTTTTGCATATTGAGTCAGACTGATGGCAAATTTTCTTAAACTTAAACCATGAACACCAGAAGTGAGAGGCTGCAAATTCATAAGGCAGCAACTACCATGTCCTCATGCATTTTCAGAGCACGTTTATGAGATCAGGATCGAAGAAACCAAAATGTGGTCCCATGGAATGCAGGGAGAAAATATTTCTCTTTATCTGAAAACATTTCATTTAAAAAAAACAACAGGAAGTATCTTTCTTCTTGCCCTGTACTGTAAGAGGTTAGGCTTCCCCTGGTGTTCCCTGATGTGTCACTATTCCAGGAGGTTTTTATTATCAGTCATAACCCATCCTCAGATTCATCATCACACTAATTGAGTTACGTGGATTTGCATTGTTTCCATTTTCACGACAGGAAAATGCAACTGGGTGCCTCACAACATGTGACATTTTCTATGTGTCTTCCCCAAGTCCACGTTAAGTCAGATGTCAACCATGATTTCCCCATCGGGAACTCAGTCCCCATGCGTACAGGGACCCAGTGTGGATTGGAACCATGGCGTGCAAGGGAAAGAACTTCAGCCTTCCTCCCCTGTGTCCTTTTCCCAACCTGAAGCAATCTTAGTCCCATCAGGAAAACCTTTCTGTATCCCATCAATACATATGCAGCTCGTAATAAAGGAACTAGCACCCCCTAGAGCTGTTTCAGTTTAGTGCCAGGGTCACAATCTAGACTGGGATACCTGTGCATTTAGGAATTGAGTTCCCAAGAAGGAACTTGTCACTGCCATCAGACTGAAAATCAGACTGTGGAACTCAGACACAAACCATGAAAAAAGTATGGTATAGATGGTTCTTGGGAGACAGGGATTTTGACACCTAAGCAATGAACTCTGTGGATGAAGCAGCCGTCACAGCGTCCAAAGCTGTTCAGCATCACAAGGAGCTCTCAGACTCCCCTTTTGGACCCCATGCCAATTAAAAATATTGCCATTTGGCAAGCATTTTCACATCTGAAGCATCTCAGCTTTGGCTTAAAGTAGCATGTAAGATGAATCGCCAAACCTAAGATGGTTATAATGCACAACTGGGGCTGACTTCCAGATTCACACGTGACATAAATCATGTGATGGAGAGGCTCAAAAATTAATTAGACTCGCGCCTTAACAAATATTCATGGCCTTTTTGCCATCATTATAAGAATTCCTGATCTTTAAGTCAAAAGCCACCCATTGGGCTAGGAAGGTCCTCTTCAGGGAAAAAAGGGAGATTTTCCTGACCTCTGGATGTAGGTCTGACATCCTATCACATTAATATAGAGGCTGAACTTTTGTTTGTTCAAAAACTAGACTGTCAAACACAGTCGAAGAAATTTTGCTTCAGGGGTCTTTCTAAAGTTAAGAGCATCATTAACTGTGAAACCAGAGTTACTCTGGAACCCTAGGCCAAGGTTTTCCAGTCTAAGATCCTGGATATGAATGGGCTTGGAATTGTAATGAAGAAATTTCATTTCAGGGGTCTTTCTAAGTTAAGAGCATCATTAACTGTGAAACCGGAGTTACTCTGGAATCCTAGGCCAAGTTATTCCAATCTAAGGTCCTGGATATGAATGGGCTTGGAATTGTAATAACTTGGCCTAGAACTGCACTGCCAATTCTTTCCTGTTTTTTTTCCTGGTACTGCGAAAATTCCTTCTTTCCTTATGAAGAATCTGGCAGTTCCAAGTGTAAATAGCTCTGGTTTGACAAGGGTAGGCCCTTTGGGGGATTATTGTGACCTTTTTGCTTCATTTCGCCCAGGTGAATCCAAACCACAGAATTGGGTCCATAGACATCCTTTTCATGGAACAAGCTCTTCCACGATTGGGAGAATACCTTGGGTCCATCCCAACCACTGTTAGGCCAACCCCAACGTTCAAGATTTTATAGGGTTGCCAGGTCTGGGTTGGAAAATACCTGGAGACTTTGGGGGTGGAGCCAGGAGATGACAGGGTTTGGGGAGGGGAGAGGCCTCAGCACAGTACAATGCCATACAGCCCACCCTTCAAAGCAGCCATTTTCTCCAGGGGAGCTGGCCTTTGTCAGCTGGAGATCAGTTGTAAAAGTGGGAGATCCCCAGGCCCCACCTGGAGGCTGGCAACCCTAAGATTTTATGACAAGATGTGTTGACCCCAAGTCCCTCCTACACACCAGACCTAAACTAATATGTGACATTCCCTCTATGAGGGAGGGGGCACGAAGGATCCCTGAGAGAAAATTCTCTGCCTTCTCACCAAGCTGGAATTCTTTGAGAGAGAGCCATGACAGTTAAACGGGTATAAAATAAAAAAATAAACTGAGTAGTACAGATATGCTGAGTCAGCGTAAAGCTGACATTGGTTTAGGTAGCAACTTTGCAGCATCCGTCGTACTGAGCTTTAGAAGCGTGTGGGTATCATCGGAGCTAGTTAGCACGGTTCAAGATACGTTGCTTTGGAAGCCAATGAAGGCCGCCGTTACAACTTGCTATCGTGTAAAAATACATTTTGATGGAAATTCCGTATTAGTCATACAGTCAGCCATTGTGGCGGCCATATGTGGACCAAAGCGAATGATCTTTGTGTGTTGGCTCTGTGCACCCCCAAAACATATACTCTGCTTTGTAGAAACTGTAGTGTGAATGGATGAAATAGCTTAGTGGATATAACATTTAGTTATTTAACATTTGGTATCTTTGTATTTTGTGTAATTGCAGTTAACACTGAAAGGTCATCTCAGAAACAAAGTGGAACCCTTGTGGTTTGCATTTCATAAATGCACCCGTCCTATAGCCTGTAGACCATAATAACCATCTTTTAAGGGCTTTCCTTGTTGCGATCCTACCTCACTAACTTCTGATTACTAAATATACTGCTAATCTTTTCCTGAGAAGTTATTACCTAAGTAAATGATTGTCTTACCTACCTCCCCTCCCCCACTCCCCCAGTGATTCTTGCTGTCTGTCCAGAGGAAGGCAAAAAACCTCCAGGGTTTCTGGGCCAATCTTGTAGCGTTGTCAGCTCTGGGTTGCGATGCGAAATACCTGGAAAATTGGGGGTTAGAGCCTGGGGAAGGTGCGGTTTGGGGAGGGGAGGGATCTTAGCAGGGTATAATGCCATAGAGTCCACCCTCCAAAGCAGCCATTTTCTCCAGGAGAACTGATCTTGAATTGTAATAGCGAGGAATCTCCAGTTGCCACCTGGAGGTTGGCAAACCTACCAACTATGGCCTGGTGGCAGCTTCCTTCCTGACCCCAAAGTGCTGATCAGAAAGACCCTGGACATCTAAGAAAGGGCCTCAAGAGCTGAGCACTGTCTCATCCCTTCCTGCCCTCCCTCTCATGATCTGCCTACATTCCTAGTGCATTCCATGGGCCTAGATCAACTAGGGTTGCCAAGTGTTACCTGTATCCAGAGCGGGGGACTCCCGGCTTGCTCCGGGAGTGTGCGCGTGCGCCGCACACACGTCACCCAGAAGTGATGTGACGACGCCAGGCACGCTGGGGGCGGGGCCACAACCATCCGAGGGAAAACCATAGAGTCTTCCCTCGGATGACCGTCCGTGGCCCCGCCCCCAGCGTGCCTGGCATCGTCACATCACTTCTGGGTGCTGTGCACGTCGGGGTGGGGTTCCCCCCGGGGCCCGATCCGCCAGCGGCGGGGAATGGGCCTCTGGGGCGGGGGTTTCCCCACCCCCCGGGGGGACTTGGCAAGCCTAAGATCAACATTGTGGTGTAGATGAATATTCAAATGTCTCCACTAGCCACACACACAACACTCCCCAGCTGGGACCCCTTTTATCATACTGTGCATTTTCTACTTGGGGTTTCGTTCCTCAGCAGATGCGGCAGATGAAGCTGATCTTGATGCGTTTCCTTGGTGCCCACTGACTCTCCCAATTCTGTGCCTTAACCATCAAACACAATGCATGGGAACAGCTTTCCTTAGACAAGAGCCTTGATCTGGCAAGACGTCATTGGGAAAAGAGCCTTTGTCATCCATTCCCTGCAGCAGCTGCTCTGCACCTGGGTGACTGACTGCCAACCTTCCGCACGCTCAGTGTCTACACAGCAGGAAATCTGCAATCTTCACTTTGTTTAGGATCCCACTGCAAAGCTTATTCACCATTTGGAACAAGCCAGTGTGGTTCTACTAAGAATGTAATATAGAGTGTTATCCTGACTAACAAAGATTGCTATGTAATTTACCCCTTACTGTTTAACCAGTGGGATTAACTAGAAAAAAATTATTTAGAGCCTTTGTAATGCTTTTGTAAACATTATCCAGTTTAGATGTCCTTTGATTGCCTCTTCCCTGGCAATTCCTTTATGGTAGCCTGTTTCTATCAAAGCTATTCTAAGGGATATCAGCCTTAATTTCTACTGTACATCAGTCGTTTTTGGGTTTTTTTGCACTGGATAGTTTTGTTATCTATTTATGTACTGTGTTGTGGTTGTTGTTTTTTTACTTACATAAAAACCAAATTCAAGTATAATTGGTTTTGTCTGTTCATTGGTAAGATTTGAAGAGGCAGCAGGGCTTCTAATGAATTCCCAGCAGCAAGGCATTCTGGAAACAGAATGGTAAAAACCTGATTAGGGAACTAATGAGGAACCATGCGAAGAATGGTGCTTTCATTCAAGAACTCAGCGGGTTTGGCAGACTGTGAATATGCAGGGACTGTGGCTCGGTGGTAGAGCATCTGTTTGGCATGCGGAACGTCCCAGGTTCAATCCCCAGCATCTCCTGTTAAAACAATCGAATAGCAGGTGATGTGAGAGACCCCTGCCTGCAGCCAGTCTGAGTAAACAATACTGACTTTCAGGGGTCGTTTCGTAGAAAAAGAGCTAGGGGAACTCATTAGCATAACTCATTAGCATATGCCACACACCCTGACATCACCGGAAGTGTGTCATAAGGCCACACCCCAACGGTCCCGGCCGCCACCGCCGGCCTTGCAGCTCCACTGCCGAGCCCCATGAGGAGCCCGGCGGTGGACCTGCAAGGCCGGCGGGAGTGCAAGGAAGCCCCGCAAAGGCCCTCCCTGGCCCCAGGCAGGCAGGGGTGGGGAGAGGTAGGGATGAAGCAACTTACCCTCCCTCTTCTCTTGCCTCCTCCTGGCTGAATGAGGGCCGGAAGCGGGGTGGCCGGAAGCAGGGGGCAGGGCTTCGTCATGTGCCCCGCCCCCCCGTACCTCACCCAGGGGAACTGTGATCCCCCGTGATCCCCCCCGAAATGACCTCTGCTGACTTTGATGGGCTGAGGGTTCAATTCAGTATAAGGCAGCTTCATTTGTTCATGTGTGTTCATCAGTTTAGAAACCAGCTTCAGAAGAAGGAGGAGGCTGGATTTAAACCCCGCCCTTCACTTGGATTCTCAGAGTGGCTTACAGTCTCTTTTCCATTCCCCTCCCCACAACAGACACCCTGTGAGGTAGGTGGGACTGAGAGACATCTTTCGAGAACTGCTTGTGAGAGAACAGCTCTGAGAGAACTTTTAACGGACCCAAGGTCACACCAGCAGTTACATGTGGAGGAGTGGGGAATCAAACCCGGTTCTCCCAGATTAGAGTCTGCGCTCCTAACCACTACACCAAAGACTGGCTCTTGCACTGGTAACAGGCACCTGCGTTAAAATACTGTTTGTCAGCACCGAGTGCCTCTGTTCATGTTTGCATTTCATAGCAGTACACTCAATGAATGTTATAAGCCATGGGTTGACAATTTATGGAAGGAATGCATTTGGTCACACATTTGGTCATAATGAGTAATCCATCAGGGCACGCATACCCCCAACAGGGCAAATAGTGGCCCTTGGGAATATTTCAGCACATGGGAAAGTCTAAGCCTCCTTTAACCATGTGCCACAGTCCCTGTCCATATTCGGCCATCATGCACCATATGATTATGGCCTGATGAACGGTCGAAACAGAGATTTACCCAGGACATCCATTGCCGTGGTTAATGCTATTGTTAGCTGGATAGCTTGAATTATTAATAACTTTGGGGAATTACGATATTATAAAAGGCAATAGGCAAATATGGGAGTGATCCCCTATGTATACAGGGGTCCCACTTCTTCCACAAGCACCAGAAATAGATGCAGAGACCAACTTCAGAATGAAATAGTTTCTTTACTGATGGTATTTCACAAGCATACAATTACTCAAGCACACTCACAATTACCAAGATCTAGGAAAATTAGATAGAAAAGGATAGCAACATTCACATGAGCAGGATGTTTCATTGAGGGGTAATATTTACCTGTCCTTGGTGAGATGAAGCAATCCACAGGAAAAATAAGGGAGGCTATGGGGAAGTAGCAGTTCGAAAGCAAGAAATTGCAAGTAGATAAATAGGTACCACTTTGGTGGGAAGGTAACAGCGTTCTGTGCA